AGGCAGAGGCAGGTGGATTTCTGAGTTCGAAGTCAGCCTGGTCTACAGAGTTCCAAGACAGCCAGGGCTATACAGAGAAACCCTGTCTCGAAAAACCAAAAAAAAGAAAGAAAGAAAAAGAAAAGAAATGAAATGAAAAAAAGAAAAACTAGGGAAAACCTGATGAGATTAATAAAACAAACTCTAGAAAGCTATCAGAAAAGAACAAATTGTCAACATTAAAAACAGAAATGTAGGGCTGGAGAGATAGCTCAGTGGTTAAGAGCATGGACTTGCAGAGGTTTAGAGTAACCAATGCCCAGCAACCACATGGTAGCTCGGAAAAAAAAAAAAAAAGAAATGTAAAATACTAAATAAATGAGATAAATGAGGATATTATGGAAAAACTTAGATTTGTTATCATCATTGGCAATAAATACACAAAATGGAAGTCCAGGAACACAGGTCAGTTAGTAGAGAGCTGATCTAACATTCAGAAAGTCGTAGGTTCTATACTAGCCTCACACAATGCTAGTAATGACTGTAAACCCAATGCTCAAAGGTCAAGGCACAAGGATCAGCAGGAGCTCTTTGTTATTCTCAGCTACATACCAAGTTGGAGCCAGCCTGGGATTTAAGAAACCATATCTCAATAAAGGAAAGAGAGAGGAGGAGAAAGAGAAAAAAAAAGAAAAAGAAATAAAGTGGAAAAACACTTTGAAAGATGCAAACTACCAAAATTCACTCAAAAAGAAAAAGAATGGTTGTTGGGCAGTGGTGGCGCACACCTTTAATCCCAGCACTTGGGAGGCAGAGGCAGGCGGATTTCTGAGTTCGAGGCCAGCCTGGTCTCCAGAGTGAGTTCCTGGACAGTCAGGGCTACACAGAGAAACCGTCTCGAAAAACCACACACACACACACAAAAAAAAAAAAACAGTGGACACACCTTTAAGCTCAGCATTCTAGAAGCAAAGACAAACAGATCTCTTTTGAGTTCCAGCACAGCAAGTCTACATAGAAAGTTCAAGACTACCTACAGCTACATTGAGACCCTGTCTCAATAAAAGATAGATAGATAGGTAGATAGATAGATAGATAGATAGATAGATAGATAGATAGTCAGACAGACAGACAATCTCTGACCTACATATACACAGACTCTGAGCACAATAATAAATAAAACAAAAAGCTGCTGTGTACTTGCTTTTGAAAAGCTGAAGTTGTAGCACCTAGACACAGTCAATACACAAAATGAGCAACAATAAACAGGAACCTTAGGCAGGTGCCTGAGATAAAGAGAAACTTGTGTTTTAACAATGAAGAGAATTGGCTGTGACTGGCATGAGGAAGAAAACAGTGAGTAAATGGTATGAAGACAAGTGGATTCTGAGAGAATACTGAAGAAACCAACAGAAGACCCAGGTGATCTGACATCTTCTTAGTGAGCACAAGAACTTGGATGTTTGTACCAAGTTCACTAAGGTGCACCGACAGTGTTTAGTCAGGAGCATAATTCTTTATTTCATCCTATTGGTTCTAAGCAGTAGTGTTAGAAGGGCTCTGAAGCACATCTTTTAGAACATTTTAGACCATAGACCTCCATGGTCCAGAAGAGGGATAATGCTAGCTTAGACTATGGAGATGTGGATACAGAGAAATGAAAAGCTATAGAGTGGTTACCCTTCTATCAAGGGAAGAAATTGAAACTTTTTAGTAAAAACAAAGGATAAATCCTCACAGTCCTTTTTTAAAATTATCTTAACATTTTTATTTATTTTGTGCAGATGTACACACAAAACCATCTTGTACATGTGGAGATAAGAGGACAATTTGTGCCAGGCAGTGGTGACACACACCTTTAATCCCAGTGCTTGGAAGGCAGAGGCAAACAGATCTCCGAGTTCAAGTCCAGTCTAGACTACATAGTGAGATCCAGGACAGCCAGGACTAAAAAGAGGAAACCTTTGGGAGTCAGTTTTCTTCTTCCACTATATAGATCCCAGGAATCAAACTCTATCTATCAAGCTTGATAGCAAGCACCTTAACCTACTAAGTCATTTCGTTGGTCTCAGTCTTTGTTTTCATATTCTCATATTTGTTAATCACATTGGTGACTTTTCTTTTGTTTTTTGTTTTTCTAGACAGGGTTTTTTTTGTGTAGTCCTCCCTGGCTGTCCTGGAACTCACTCTGTAGACTAGGCTGGCCTTAAACTTACAGGGATCCACCTGCCACTGCCTTCCAAGTGCTGAGATTAAAGTCATGTGCTCCCACTGCCTGACATTGGTGATTTTTCTTGCTGTGACAAAATCCCTGACCAAAGCAACTTAAGGAAAATTACATACCTATATATGACAGATAGAGTCACCTAACCTTATATGTTGGATACAGTTACCTAACCTTATATGACAGAGTTACCTAACCTTCTATGATGGATACAGTTACCTAACCTTCTATGATGGATACAGTTGCCTAACCTTCTATGATGGATACAGTTGCCTAACCTTATAAGATGAATACAGTTACCTAATCTTGTATGATGGATACAGTCACCTAACCTTCTATGATGGATACAGTCAAAATGCCAGTGAAATAAAGATGCACAAAATTATTTTCAAGCTGTATGTATAAGGTCTATATAAAACATAAATCAATTTTGTGTTCATACTTTAGTAAAGCACCTTTAATTTAAAATTTAAAGTCTGAAACACGTCTGACTCCAAACATATGTAATTATGCAACCCATAGAGGAACAGCCAATAAACACAAGAAAAAAGATAGTTCAATATCACCAGTCTTAACAGAAGTATAAATTAAGGTAAGAATGGCATACCTCTAATAAACCTGCTAAAATGAGTAAAAGCAAATAGATCAACAATACTAACTAAGCTAGAGGCAGAGACAGAACAAGCAGACTACCACACACTGTTGACTGGTAGGGAAGGGTAAGCCAAGGATGCTACAGCTACTCTAAAGAACAGTGCTCAGCATCTTATAAGTGTAATAATATACATTTACCACACAATTCAGCAATTATTTTCACCATATCACTAGCATTTACCAATGAGAAAAAAACAAACCAGAAGTCTACAATATACACAATAATGTTTATAGATATTTAACAGCCTAAAAGTGGAGATAACATATTCATCAACAACTAAATGGATAAAGAAATTTTGTTATTTTCATTAAAAGCTTTCTAGGAGAAAAAGAAAGACTGACTGATGATATACTCAACAACAGGGAAGACAGCTTGCTTTCTTGGGCCTGAGTTCTATCTCCAGTGCGTGCATGCACACAGATACACACAGATAGATACACACACACACACACACACACACACACACACACGTGCGCGCGCGCGCGCGAGGATGGTTGTGATGACCACAGTAACATCACTGAGGCTTGCTGCCTACTAACCTCTGAGAAAAATAGTGAGCTCGAGATTCAGAGAAAGCCAATATCCAGGGTGTAAGGCAGAAAGCCATATAGGAAGAGGACATCAGCTGTCTCTCTCTACCTTCTACACACATGAATGGGTGTGTATACCTGGACATACATGGGTACTCACACAAGCATATATTTAAAAACAAGTTCAAGATCATTATAAGCTATACAGGGTTCATAGTCTGGGCTACACAAAACACTGTGCCAAAAAGTAAGAAACAGCTGGGCAGTGGTGGCATACATCCCAGCACTTGGGAGGCAGAAGCAGTTATATCTGAGTTCAAGACCAACCTGGTCTACAGAGCAAGTTCCAGGAGAGCTGGGGCTAAACAGAGAAGCACAGTCACAGGGGGGAAAAAAAAAGACAATAGAGAAAAACACTGATGTAGATCCCAGCTTCCACACTCAAAAGCACAGGATGTGCACCCCTTCATATATACACACACAAACATATACATACACTCAAAACTAGCATTTGCCCTTTAAAAAAAAAAACAAAAAACAAAAAACTGAGAGCTTGTGAGACGGCTCAACGGAAAAGGTGTTTGTTGCCAAGCCTGACAATCTAAGTGCCGTCCCTGATACCAGATGGTGGAAGGAACCAGTTCATAGCACACATCACACACACACACATCACACGCACACACACACACCTTTATAGTACTGAAAACTGATGGTAATAAACACTAAAGAGAAATGGCTAAATAAAGTCAGATAATTTATACTTTAGATGAATTTGAAAGGCAGTAACTCCTTCTATGTAAACAACATGGCAAGGGCTCCAGGACCACTGCTCATAGACCAATGCTAGAGAACAGTTTATCTGAATAACATACTGATATGGAGTGAGCACACACTTATGAGTTGTACACATGCATGCAAAAGGTTTTCAAAGACAATGAAATTGGATGACCTAGAAAACAAGAATGGGAAGAGTTGGTATTAGGAGTCCTAAACAAACTTTTATGTAAGAATGTATTTTTGTCTGGTTGTTTGTGGAGGAGGGGGATTTTTGAATTCTGAATGTAGCCAGATTAGCCTTAAACTTCTGATCCTCATGTCTTTGCTTGCATAGTTCTGGGGAATCACAAGTGTGAGCTTCCACACCCAGTATTTTTATATTGTTTTTTCATATTTTTATATTGTTTACATATAAACTCATGTTTAAAAAATTAATCTGGGAGAGTTTAGATGGGCTGAAAACAGTTGTGTGAGGGCTCTTTTTCATAAGATGTAATTATGTTTGTGGCAAGGTTCTAAGGCTACTCAGAAAACAACCTGCATAGCCCTAGCCACATTCAGTCTAGAATACCGTGAATTTGCAGTAACAATGCCTTTTTTCTAACTCTCTTCCCATAGTGCCTTCCAAATTTTCTTATGTACCTCTCAGTCAAAGATACTCTGAATTATATTATTATTTTAAAATTTCTTCATATAAATCATTACTACTTAAATTATTTCTTTATTTGTTTATTGTGTTTCCCAGCAGGGAATGGCAAGACAATTTTGAAGTCATGTAATTTTAGTTGAGTCATTTAGAGTTTTCTTACATCAAAGACACATTTTATTTACTTACCTTAGTTGGAAAAGGAAATTTGGAAGGTTCTGTTTTGCATGGTGTATGAATAGCCGTTAGAGGGGGAGGCCATGAATGCGTCATCTCCTGAAATGTAATTATTACAGTTTGTTTTCAACCAGGACAAGGTTACAAATCTATACAGCTAAAAACCAGATTTTACTTACAAATACTGGTTTTATAATCAATCTTCTAAAACTATGCATAATGAGCCAGTGGATATTAATAAAGTACAACTGTGTGCAAGTGGTACAGCGGGCAATGGGGCAGAAAATAACAAATCCTCTCTGACTTTAAGGGGTCTGTGGGTAGAATTATGAAATCTGTGGACAGTTATAGAAATCAGCCTGTAATGAAATACAAGGTCTGAGAGGTTTGTTTGCTTGTTTTTTGAAACAGGGTCTTATTCTGTAGCCCAGGCTCCCTTAGTTTGCTGTGTACACCAAAGAAGCCTTGAATTTGTGCTGATCCTCCTGCCTCTGCCTCCTAAGTGCTAGATTAGAGGCATGAGCCACCATACCTAACAAACTCACATTAGGTAATGCTACTCAGAAAAGATCTTGCTGTGGGAATGGAAGGAAGAGGATGACAATAAGGAAAGCAGCTAACATTAATCTTTACTATTAATAGATCAGAAACTATGATAAATGCTTTGCTTCTCTTCAAATCTTGAGGTAAATATTATTCTAACTCTATTTAAAGTGAAACTGAAGCACAAGGTCAACAGTATTTACTCAAGATTGCATGCTTAGTAAATAATGGTCACAGAATTTCATTATAGGAAGTCTGACCTCAGAGTTCACAAGCTGATTGAAAATTTTGGTCATGTGAAGAAACAGAAGAGAGATTTCAAAAGCATTCTTAGGAAAAAAAACAAGAAAGACCCTGGGTCTGATTTTATTCAATGCCTTCTATATAATCATGCTATAAACACCTGAGCATGGTGGCATGTGCCTCTAATCTTAACTCTTAAAAGGAAGAATTCAAGGCAGCCTGGGCTAATGACACCCTGTCTAAGAGGGAAAAAGGCCCAAGTAAATCTACATAACAATGTGTATATCAGAGGATCAATGTGTATATCAGAGGTATCAATTAGAATAAGGGTGTATTTTATTTCCAGCATTTTGTTCAAACTCAGCCATTAGGTAAATTAAAGTTGACTTGTGATAGCTAGAAATTTATACTGTGGCTATAACCACAGTTATATAAACATATATTAAAAGATTCCGAGGACTCATAGATTAAAAAAAATGTTAAAAACTCTGATATCCAACAATACAGTATTGATTAAACAAATTAGCAGACATACAAAAATGGAACACCAGACAGATATTAAAATGAGAAATTCAACTATGATATGAAATGATATCCACAGCATATTAGTGTCAAACACAAATCACACTCTACACCCTAGTAAATATTTATATATGAAAAGTCAAGCATCTGGAAGGATGCATAACAATGGCTACCTTTGGGCAACAGAATGACAGAATCGGGAAGAAACAGTGTCTACTACAAGCTCTTATAAGCAGCCTCTTGCATGGGCAGAGAGGGAGGTAGCCACAAAGCCCCATCCTGAGCTGAGGGGCTACTGACAAAAGAGAGCTAGAATAGAGAGTCAGTTTTCTTTAAGGGCGTGTCCCTTGGTAGGTCAGCTAAGCTCCAGTGGTTAGCCACATATCCAAGAATATATGAGCAGCACAAACTGGACTTGCTGGGAAAAAGAAAAAAGACCTAAAGTTGAGTGGGTAGGGAGGGGGGAGTTGGGAAATGAGCATGATCAAAATACATTATACAAAATATACAAAGAACTAATAAAAAAATGTGGAAAAACAAAAACCAATAACAACAATAAAGCACTAGCCACTTGCATGTAATTGCTCTCTATTCTCTTAAAATTCCTGTATTAATTCCTATACCCAGCTCTAGAAGGTCAGCTTAAATAGTACAACTAGTATCACTGCCACACTGGTAACACTTGACACATAATAGGTGAATACTGACAAGGGAATTTTTTTTCAATAAATATATATTCTTTTTAACAGATTTCTTCCTTATATTCACAATAGAGTTCCTAGAAACAGTGTGATTGCAAGTTGAATGGAAACAAAAACCTATGAAAGCAACAAGGAAACTTCTGCACCTCAGGCTTCTAGTACTGGCATTTCACAAACCAAATACCAAAATATGTGCAACTGTTAACTGTTTCAACAATCAAGCTGGCTGGGCACTAAAACACTCAAGGCCACGTATCAAGGTTATACATAAAAAAATGTAGGCTAACTATCTAGTAAGAACAAGGAGACAAAGAAAGTCTTCCCAGTACTAAAGTTCTATATACTGATAAAACTTCAGAGAGAAACATGTATGTTCCCTTAGAATTACACACACACACACACACACACACACACACCACCCTAAAAGCTAGCCAAACAAAAGAATAGTAACAAAACACATACACATTAGCATTTCTTATGGACAAGACTCTCTCTGTGTGTGTGTGTGTGTGTGTGTCTTAAAAAAGTGAATGCTTAGCTGGGCAGTGGTGGTACACGCCTTTAATCCCAGCACGTGGGAGGCAGAGGCAGGTGGATTTCTGAGTTCAAGGCCAGCCTGGTCTACAGATCCAGGACAGCCAGAGCTACACAGAGAAATCCTGTCTCGAAAAACAAAACAAAAACAAAAAAGTGAATGCTTGGGACTGAAGAGATGGCTCAGTGATTAAGTGCACCACTCACTGGCTGCTCTTCCAAAGTACCTAGGTTCAATTCCCAGCACTTATATAGCAACTAACAACTGTCTGTAACTCCAACTGCAATGGATCTGACAGGTCCTTCTGACTTATTTGGGCAATAAACACACACAGTGCACAAACATATATGCAGACAAGACATCAATTAAATAAATAAGTTTGGGGGGGAGAAGGGGAGCTAAAGGAGAAAATAGTGGCCTGACATAGGAAGAAGTAAAATTTCCCTGGGATTCTATAGAAGACAACTAAGTATGTACTATTATACAGAGAAAGGAGAGTAGTGTTTCAAGGAATTTTACTTTAAGGAAATGATAAAATCTTCTGTGGAATTACAAGCCTCTACTACCAGTGCAAGGTGAGGCAAGAGGACAGAAGTTCATTCAAAGCTAACACACACTATAAGAAAGCCTATTTTTTAAAAAAGAAAAGGTACGGCTCAGGGAAACTAGTTTGGCAAAGTGGTCAGTCAGCAGCAGGAGAGCTGAGGACTAGCTATGGGATGTCTGAGATATCACATTCTTCCTCTGAATAATGGTCTTAGCCATCTCAGTCTCGAGAGAGATGAGTCACTGATTACCTCTAGCAAAAGAGTCAAGCTACGAAGGCCAGGGACTAAGAGAAGACGTGAGGCGATATAAAAGACAGCTGGGAGATCTTAAAGGTCGAAACAAAAATAATCAAGACTATTGTGATGTTTCATCAGTACTACTACTATTACTACTACCACTCTGTGAGCTAGGCAGTGCTGACACACACCTTTAATTTCAGCATGCAGGAGGCAGAGGCAGGTAGGTCTCTGTGAGTTCAAGACCAGCCTGGTCTACACTGCAAGTTCAAGGACAGCCAGGGCTACATACAGAAACCTTGTCTTTAAGTACTACAAAACAAAACAAAAACAAAAAAACTAGTGTGTGTGGGCATTGGCTACGGCACAAGTTTGATGTCAGAGTGCCATGTGGAGGGAGAGTGTGCGATATTCCCAGTGTGGACCTTGGAGGATTGAATTCAGATTATCAGGCTGGCTCGAAAAACACTTTTTCCTGCTGAGCCATCTTACTGGCCCAAGTGAGGATTTTTTTAAACTACTGAAGCTCAAGTTGGAAGAAATGGAAAGAATACATATTTTCAAAGAAATTTTAAGTCTAAGCCTACTTTAACAGTTAGACAGAATATGTAGAAGACATATAAATATGGACAAACAGACTAAGGAATTCCTAAGAGACGTAAACCAAAGCCTATAGGAGATCAAGGAGGAGAGGACTGAATAGCTAGTCATCTGATAAAGTTAACGATGGTAGACAAGGGGGAAGGAAGAGTGTAAAAAGAAAGAGAAAGGGTTAGGAAAGAGAAGAGAAGCCATAGTCGTACCAAAGGAAGTAGGAAAGGCAGACAGGAAACCAAACAACGAAGCACAGTGACAAGGAAGGAACAAAGTTCCCAAAGGAAAAATGTAAAACTCTCAAACAGCAGAGACAAGAGAGAAAGAAAGAGCATGACTTCTTATATGCATCATACTCCAGTCAGAGGACAAGAGAAGGACATGAGGAAAACAGGCTCAGCAAGATGGTAAAGGGAGACTACAGCAGCTAAAGAAAGGAGTGGGAGATCCAATGGTGAGAACAGATCATAGGAAACAGGCTAAGACAGGCAGTCTCAGAGGAAAATGCCATAACCCAAGTACAGACAATAATTCAGTAGCTTCCAAAAAGTAGTACAAGTTATGTGTGACTGATGTTTTTCTCTTAGGAGCAAAAAAGCAGTAACTGTCACTCCCTAACTTTTCTTTCCTTCTTCCCACAGAAGAATGCACTTTTTTGGTTATCATAAATAACCAAAACTGTGTCTAATAACAACTCCAAATCAATACTTAAGAGGACAGCTTTACTATAGCATCTGATCAGAATGCACAGGTGAATTACAAACCAAACTACTGTCATCAATGTCTAGGTATCTATTGAGTTGGTTTTTTTAAGGCCTTTAAATTACTAGCTGATAAGTCTAAAGAAATGTAGTTGTAATTTGTTTCTTCCTCTTTTCAAGAGTAAAATTAGGATTTATTTTACTTACACACAGTCAACAAAGCATGTGACTAGAACCTTAGAAGAGTCATTTATTTATGATGGACACGACATAATCAAGTGACACATATAAGCAATTTGTGTTACAAAGGAATTAGGAATATGAAACAGTTGGTAATATAGGCATCATAATTAAATTATTATCATTATTAAACATTATCAAAATAATTAAAAAGACACTTACTTTAAGTATTTCATCCACACAGCTTACATCACCAGAAACTGATGCCTTAAGAGAAAAAAAAAAAAAAAACAGACATTAGATTTGAAGTAATTTGTTGTTAGATTTTTAGTATTTACTAAACATATTAAAAACATTAGAAATTACATAATTTTTTGGTTGTTGTTTTGTTTTTTCGAGACAGGGTTTCTCTGTGTAGCCCTGGCTGTCCTGGAACTCACTCTGTAGACCAGGCTGGCCTCGAACTCAGAAATCCGCCTGCCTCTGCCTCCCAAGTGCTAGGATTAAAGGCGTGCACCACTACCACCACCCAGCAACATAAAATTTGAGGAATTATTATGATCTCATTATTTTAAGTCAGAACACTAGCTAGAATTTTTGAGATAGATTAAACTTTTAAAACTTTTTATTATTTTTATATATGTAACAGTTTTGGCTGAAAAAAAAATATATGCTATATGCTTGCCTAGTCCTGCAGAGGCACTAAATTTTCTATTGGAGTTCTAAACAGTTGGTGGGCCTCTTCCTCTAGAAGAGCAGCCAGTGCTCCTAACCACTGAGCTCTCTTTCTAGGCCCTAGATTTTTATTTTATGTGTATAGTACTTTGCATGTATGTAGGTCTATGCACTACACATTTACCTAGTGCCTGTGGAAGCCAGAAGAGGGACTATGATCCCTCTAACTGAAACTAGAGTTAGAGACACCTGTGAGCCATCATATGGGTGCTCAGATTTGAATTCAGAGTCTCCAGAAGAACAGCCACTGTTCTTGGCCCTTGAACCACCTCTCCAACTCTTTTTTGTTTGTTTGTTTGGTTTTTTGTTTTTTTCAAGACAAGGTTTCTCTGTGTAGCACTGGCTGTCCTGGAACTCACTCTGTAGACCAGGCTGGCCTTGAACTCAGAAATCTGCCTCCCTCTGCCTCCCAAGTGCTGTGATTAAAGGTGTGCACCACCATTCTCCAACTCTTACAATTTTTTTAATGTAACTTTTTTTTAGGTAATCAAACTTCCTAAAAATGTCTAAAGTTATTCATATATAAAATATAGTATGACACAGAGACATAGTTCCTCACAAACTTAGTAAAATGAACTTTTGGAAGATTAGTAATGTGGACTACAATACACATTTTTACCTAGCATTTCATAAACTGTAGAAGGTAGACTGATAATTTTAAGGCACACAAAAAAAAAAAAAAAAAGAAAAGAAAAAAACTAAACTCAAATTTAGCCCCAAAATTGATATGTTTGAAGAAAGAACAAAGGATCACCTCTCTGTGTCTGAGAAGCAATACAAGTCCTCTGTAAGAGTAGAAAGTGCCCTTAACCAGTAAGCAATCTCTTCAGGCCCCAAGATTCTTTTTTATTTAATTCTATTAGTGTACTTGTGTGTGGTGTATATGTGTATATGTAAGAGTGGGCCATGTGGAGCAGAGGTTCAGAGAACAACTCTTAGGAGTTGGTTGTTTGCTTCCACTGTGGGATCCAGGTACTGAACAAATCGTCAGGTTTATACTTGATCCATTGAGCTATCTTGCTGACTCAAGATTCCTAAATGTTATCAACATTTTTTGTAACTGTGATTCCTTCTTCTGCCATTCTAAACTTTGAGCTATGCCTTTTGTCTTTTCTTTCAACTTTTTTATTGTATAAACTACATTAAAAGATAAACCTTGAAGTGCTGGGGAAATGTCTCAGTGGTTAAGAGTACTGCCTATTCTTTCAGATGAGCCAGGTTTGATTCCAAGCAGTCACATGGCAGTTCACAACATCCATAACTCCAGGTCCTAGGGATCTGAGGCCCTTTTCTGTCCTCTATGGACACCAGGATACACAAAGGTATATTGATATACACACAGGAGAAACATTCATACACATAAAATAACAAAATAAATCTTGCCTATTTGACAATGTTTTACTGAAACCTGTTATTCTGACAGTTTAATATATGCTAATAAAGAAGAACAATTTCAACTTAGTTCTCTGGTTACTCTGAATGTCAACTTTTATACATAGTTACAGTGACTGTCTCAGCTTTTTAGCTGTGAGCAAGGGAAAGCAGCATCGGAACTACACAGTATTATCATTTCTGTAGATTCAAAAGTTTCAACATTTGTCACCATAAACCATGACCTGCATGTATCTGCAATGCTATAATAACAAAGGTAATTTTCTTTTTAAGTAAAAAGAAACAAGCTATATATACTATCCCATAAAACCAAAAGGAGGAAGCGTGAGCTATTGATAAATGTTACTTTTAGTCTATAGTTTGACTTGTCATTTTAATACTTGAAAAAGTATGAATGACATTTCTCTAATACGCAAGAAGGAAAGTGCGCAGCAATATGGATCCACTTGGGGGTCAATTCCCAAGTTCTTCTTTAAACCTTTTCTTCTTAAGCTTTTAAAATTTTTATATTTCTTACTTATTAAAGTAAAAAGACAGGTACAACTCACTGAAATCTCTATGAATTACTTTTTTCAGATACATTGCTAAACACTGTAAGTGTGAGACTTACATCCAAAGGTCGGGAAGGTATTTTCAGCTTGGTGAGATGTGCTTTGCTACTGGACTTCAGCTCAGTCATGTTATTACCATGAGACTGGCCGCTGTAGTGCTCAGAGGACAGCTTTGGTTCCACAGACTCCTGTCCATCCATGGGCCGTACATAGGCAGTGGGTTTCTGTAACATTGAACTAGATTTTGACATCAAAGAAGGTGGGAAAGACTGACTTGAATGTTGCCCACTTGAAAAAGGTACTCGGGAAGGAGAATCCCAGTTGGCATCAGGGTCCCGAGGTGATTTGGAGCGCTGATGTTCCTTGCTATGGTGATCATTCCCATGAGACCTGGAATGACTAGAACTTAATGAAGAAACAGCCTGGGGTTTTCCAGGGCTTGAGGATCGAGATTTGGAGTGCTCTGACCCGTGCTGGCCTTTTTTCCTGCTACTGCTGTAGGAGTCACGGTCATGCCTCTGGCCACTACTACTAGCACCACTCCCACCTGCACTGCTCCGCTGGCTACTGTGTCCACTCTGCAAGCCAGAGGAGCGTTTCTGAGACTGAGAGGTGCTGGGGGCAGGTCCTACAGGAGTCCATTTGCTACTCTGATGAGATCCTCCATGTCTCTGTTCAAAAAAATTTGGGTTTGCTTTCTCGTCTGTTGTCGTTGGTACTGCAGGCTTGGGGATTGCAACAAGCTTTGGTATAGATCTGTCTCCGATGTAATCCTTCATCTCATCGTAGTTTCCAAGCATACTCTGAATCCGACTTGATAACTTATCTTCTTTGCTAGTCTACAAGCAAATAAAAAAAAAAAAAAAGGAAAGGAAAAAGTAGAATATAAAATTAGTATAATGTGAAACCAAATATTCTTCCAAACTCACTTGATAATCTTCAGACAGAAGATGTGTTTTTAAAGATAAATTTCACTGTTTATATTAAAGTTAACATCTATAAAAAAATCACCAAATACACACACACACACACACCAACCAACAAAAAACTAGAACCTTTCACACGCTGAGTGAACACAACTTACACACTGGTTAAACACTCTACCATTGACTCTACCACATATACTCTCAGCCCACATATATATTTCTCACAGTGAAAAAATTTTATTAAAAGTATCTGAAATAAAAAAAAGCCCACAAAAAAGTATGTGAAAATAACCATGCTAAAATACAAAAGAAAGTCTAAAGA